ATGGTTAAATTATAAAGATTTTTTAAAGGGTGTAAAGACAAGGTTGTGAGACTAAAAAGACAGGTAAATTAAACCAAATAAATATAACGGAAAGGCTCAGTTTACACTAAAGTAAACAGTGATATATTGTTTTTGAATAATCACAATTTCTGTATTGTTATAATATAATAATAAAGTTGGAAGGGACCTTGGAGGTCATAGAGTCCAACCCCCTGCTCAGGCAGGAAACCCTACACCATTTCGGACAAATGGCTGTCCAGTCTCTTTTTGAAAACTTCCAGTGTTGGAGCATTCACCGCTTTTGGAGGCAGGTTGTTTCACTGGTTAATTGTTCTAACTGTCAGGAAGTTTCTCCTTAGTTCGTTTTTTTAAGCCAGGGTTTACAAACCAGGAGGAGAGACATACTGCTCCCAACACTTAATTTTCCACAAAGTTTTAAATACCTGGTTCCTATCCAAAGCCTTGAGTTAGGATGGTGTTTGAGCCTCTTTTTAATTTTTAGTTCTGTCTTCTAGTCAACTGTATTTGTGTGTGTGTGTGTGTTATTTCCTTTTAAATTTTTTATTTCAAGCTGTCCAGAATTGCTATTGAGTAGAACAGCTTTGAAACTGAAATAATAAATAAAAATAATCTCAGTACAGGGTCAGAGTGAAATTTTCCTTCTGGTTCCTAAAAAAAAAAACTTCGCTCAGCTAGCTGTCTTTGATTCAGAAGTTGTTTTAGGAATTTCTATTTCTGTCTCTCTTTTCTCTGATGTGGAGTTTGAAAAACCAGACAGCCACTGGCACTTCAGGAAAAGAGTGCAGGAATGGGATTGCCATCTTCAAACCTCTGTTTTGCACTTGGTTATTTTCCTAGGAATCCAGCTATCAGCTAAGAGATTGCCCCTTCAGTTTTCCCAGGTGCTTTTCATTATGGCAGAATTTATGGAAAATGACCCTGGAATGTCATTAACACAGGGATCTTCAAACCTGGCCCTTTTATGACTTGTGAACTTCAACTCCCAGAATTCCTGGCTGAGGAATTCTGGGAGTTGAAGTCCACAAATCATAAAAGGGCCAAGTTTGAAAACCTCTGCTTTAATATATGGGGGCTTCCTCAGATAGCTATGATTGCCACCATTATGAGGAAAGAGAAAAATAGGAATAACCACTTTACAAAGTATTTCTTGAAGTTCCAGTAATCAGGGCACTCAAAGAAACGTTTTATAAGTAAGCACCAATGCTACTTTTCAAAGTCTTATTCTTCATCAGATTTCAGTTATATTAGCAAAAGACAATATTACCTGTATCACAGCTCTGGGCATTAAGAAAGAATCCTTCCAGTTTTCTATAGAACATCTGGAACCTGACTGATAATGTCTGAAGTTTGGTTTTGCCATTCTGTTTTACAAAGAAGAAAGTTATCCAGATTGTTGACAGAGGGCTTTGAAGTTTTACTTTGCTGTTGATTTACCTGTTAACTACTTTGTTTTTACGTATAGTAGATAAAGGATAGGCCAAGTGGGTTGTAAATAGATGTAGAAGTTTATAAATTGTGAGCCTGCTTCACAAGGGGAGAAACTAATATTGTTGCAGTATATTTATCAGTAATCAACCAGGGGAGATAATATATATATATATATATATATATGTATATGTGTTTTTGTCTTTTATCCTTTTTACTGCACATTTTTAAATGTTTTGTCTATTTTTGTTTTCCTTTTCTGTTTATATTTTGAGGGTGGTTGGAATTTGTATTTTAACTTTTGAAATAAAATAAAAAATATGTTTAAAAAAATGGTGGCATTTCCAGTCCCAATTAGCATTGTTAAGCAAGGACTATTTGAAATCTTGGAGTCTCAGAATAGTTTGAAATTTCAGCTTATTCAGAACATCTCAGTATATTTTGTCTATACTCTTATTGATTGTTTTCTCAATTACAGGTTTGGCCGTGTGGAAATTCTCTCAGGTTTTATTAACGGCCTTTTTCTCATGGTAATAGCTTTCTTTGTCTTTACTGAGTCGGTGGCCAGACTGGTTGATCCTCCAGATATAGATACAAATATGTTGACTGTAAGTTTGTAACTTTGTTTTCTATTATCTTTAAAAATATTGCTCTAAAGCATTTTTAAAATTTAATAGAAACAGGATTCACTTTTCCAAGCATTTCTGATCCTGTTAACGTTCATAGAAGTTTCCTATGACAATGGAAATAAGTCACAATTAGCTGGCCTCAAAATTTTCAACCTTAAATATTTTTAAAGGTACTTTTCCTTCAGAGAAAAAGTGGCTAGAAGAGTGTAGAACTCAAGTCAGCAACTCAGAAAGCCTTTATGTGCCAGAGCCACTGCCATCCTACTATTTTTATGTAGCAATAACACTGAAGTGTCTGTAAATGGGCATAAAGTATCATGATTTCATCTTTCTTCATAGCAAAAATGGGCAGTGTTATTCTGTTGGTAGTGGCAGAGAAAATGCAGTTGTTTATTGCCATTTTCTCCTTTTGGAAATAAAAACAAAACCTAGTGTCTTGTCATTGCTTCAGTAAAAGGATTCAGAATTGTGCATTCTCAAGATGAAAGTTGGGAGAGAATTATGTGAATAGTAAAAGAAAGAATACATGTCTGTTTATGTGTCCGTGACCCACCTAATCTAATTGCCTTCTCTCAATAAAGACTAGGGGGCTATTAATAATCAGCCTCTTTCAAGTAATGTATAATAATAAAATAATCTATTATTCTTCATTCCATGTATGCAATGGTTGCCCTTCTTAAACAAAAATAAATGTAAGGTATAACTTGATTCCACCTAATCTTTTCTGTTCAGGCTGAACTATATATTATGATAACTACCTCAGGTTTCCCCTGGTTAAAGGATTCTGTATAATAAAAATTAGCAACTGCTTCACAATTTGCTAAATTCCATCTTCTGCTTTGTACTAAAACCTGGAACATAAGAAGGTTAGCAGATGGCACAATGATTCAGTGGTAGATGGAATCTAATCTGCATTTCTCTTATGGCCTGAATTTAAATTACTTCTGAAATAGAAAGCGATTTAGCTGCATCCGCCTTTACAGAACGCAAGGAATTTTGTTTAATGACATACAATCAGTGCCAACATTAGGCTTTTATATCAGCGTCAGGGCAATTTGTGAACTTCTTGAATGGTTGCTATTTAATTTTTTCATATTTTTCAGTGTGTTGCTGTTTTTGTATTTAGTCCTATATTGTTTGTTTTGTTTGTTTTAATGATGTTTTTAACCCACCTTAACACTACTTGAGGCATTGTGATTAGGTGGCCATTGTAAATCAAATGAATGTATCAATCAGTCAAGCCTGACTGTTGGTCCACTGCTTTTAAGAGTTCTCAAGGGGTACATTCATATATCATTTAGATAGTTAAAGGAAATTAGCTGATTCCAAATCATAATTAGCATCAAACTCTGATTAATATTAACAATGAACATATACATGGCTAAGGAATTTCATACATAGCACTACTGTAAACATAACAGTCTTGCACTCTTCCATCTGTTTCTTAGTTGTGCAGAGTGAAAGATTGTATGATTCTTTATTCCTGAGAATTGCATAACATTACATTACATGATGCTAAGTTTCATCAGCATCATGATTCTCTGAATACAAAACCTATTATTTGTGTTGCAATATATTCATTCTATTTTTATTGAATCTATAGAACCAACTCCAGTGGAGGATAACAACTTGGGGAAGTTGCTTTAGGCTGGGTTCTTTGTTTTCTTAGGCATAGTTAATGGTATTAAATAAAGTACAAAGATTTCTTTGTTCTCCTTCATGCAGCCTGTTTCAGTTGGAGGACTGATAGTAAACCTTGTTGGTATCTGTGCCTTTAGCCATGCCCATTCCCATGGGCCTTCTCGAGGAGGATGCCATGCACATGAGCACAGTCATTCCCATCACAGCCATGGTCATGGCCATGGCCATTCCCACAATGACTATGGGCACACTCATAATCATGGACATGGCCATGGATCGTTAGGAGGCAACATGAATGCCAATATGAGAGGTAAGTAGAAAACAATGGATTTTTTATGAGTTCAGTTTTTATTTACCATATAATGACATATAACAGGGGTCCCCACCCCCCGGTCCATGGACCAGCACCGGGCCACGGCATGCCAGAAACTGGGCCAGACAAACAAAGCCCATAAACGGGATGCAAGCAGTACATGAAACCACGCCCCCTCCGGTCCGCAGAAAAACCTCTCTCCACGGAACCAGTCCCTTGGGGACCTCTGACATCTAAGATAATATAAGGAAAGGCATCCGTCAGGAAGGGCATCCAGCCAGTAAACACTCAGCTCCATTCAGTCTCCCAGTCTCTACTCTGAATTAAGGGATTATAGGGTTGTAAAAGGTTTTTTTTAATCACATATAAAAATAAAGGCTTTGGCAAACCCCTTTGGATTGTGGGTTTTTTTTTCTTGTTCAGTTCTTGTCATCTTTGCTACTTTTTATTCTTTATTTTTATTTCTTACTGTTTTTTTTATTTTACTTGTGATCTGCCCATAGTTATTGGGAGTTGAGTGGCATACAAGTGTAATAAATGAAGTTTTTTAAAAAATAGATCATGAAAGTATTTTAGGATATTAGGTTTTTAAATCTGATACAAATTGATTGGAGTACTTGATAGGAGTACTTATCTGTATTGTTCATACCACTAAACTGCTACGGGTATTAATGAATTGTGTTTCCTTCCCACTCCAGGAGTATTTCTACATGTCTTGGCAGATACCCTTGGCAGTGTTGGTGTTATCATATCAACAATTCTCATTCAACAGTTTGGATGGTTGATAGCTGATCCACTCTGTTCTCTATTTATTGCTACATTGATTTTTCTCAGTGTTATCCCTCTACTAAAAGATGCTTGCCAGGTACTCTTGTTGAGACTGCCTCAAGAACATGAAAAAGATCTGCACATGGCTTTAGAAAAGGTTAGTAGTAACATTGCCTATAAATTCATACAAATTAATTCTTTGGAGTAGCATTACTGGTTATCCTGCTTTGCTTTTTTTTTTTACAGATCCAGAACATAGATGGTGTCATCTCCTATAGAGATCCTCACTTCTGGTGTCACTCTGCAAATGTAGTGGCAGGCACAATACATATACAAGTAATGTCAGAAGTAATGGAACAGAGAATTATACAGCAGGTAGCTTAGTATGTTCATTCTTTGTGAATCCTCAGTTCTTACACCTATGACTTTCTCTAGACTAGTGAAATGTCAAGTCACTAATAGTACAACCAAATGTTATGTCTAATAAGCTAAAAAGCACCTTTCTGATAATATCTTCTGAAAGTTGTTCATTGTCTTCAGTTAATAGAATGTTTAAACTGATGGATAATTTTAACATGTCTGGCATATAACTTCCCTATGTGTGCATTGTTGAAGGTAATCATGGTCTGGGGATTATTCATTTTCAAAGTTATTTCCAAACATCCAGAAGTTTCTAACAGGTGTAGCAGTGATGACTATTAGATGAGACAGACATGGAACTGTGGAGCACTTTTCCCATTTTATGCATTTTTTAAAAATTAAGTATAATACATATGTCATTTGCTTAGTGCATTTATTTTTCTATTCTTACCTCATTAAAAAAATTATGCCGAGATTTATCAGTACAACTTTGCAGAGTTCCAATAGGAATGGGGAAATTAAATTCATTTCCCTGTTGTTTTTCCAATTTTGCTTGAAATTGTAACATCTTGGGCACAATGTGCTTTCACTGTACATTTTGTGCATATTATACCAATAGAAAAAGTAGAATCCCAGGTTAGACTTGCTGAGATAAATCATTCCTGTGCTGCCTAGAAAAAAAGCTTTTAAAGGAAATATGTTTTTCACATGCAAAAGATTTACAATGTAGGTGATAGAGTAGTATTTCTTGCCTAAGAACAGTTGTCTTGCTTAGATCTTCAGAGAGAGTTTTTCTGAAAAGTTGTTGTTAGTTGTAAAGTCGTGTCTGACCCATCGCGACCCCATGGACAACATTCCTCCAGGCCTTTCTGTCCTCTACCATCTTCTGGAGTCCATTTAAGCTCACACCTACTGCTTCAGTGACTCCATCCAGCCACTTCATTCTCTGTTATCCCCTTCTATTGCCCTCAATCTTTCCCAGCATTAGGCTCTTCTCCAGTGAGTCCTTCCTTCTTATTAGGTGGCCAAAGTATTTGAGTTTCAACTTCAGGATCTGGCCTTCTAAGGAGCAGTCGGGGTTGATCTCTTCTAGGACTGACCGGTTTGAACGCCTTGCAGTCCAAGGGACTTGCAGGAGTCTTCTCCAGCACCATAGTTCAAAGGCCTCAATTCTTTTGTCCTTAGCCTTTCTTATGGTCCACCTTTCACAGCCATATATTGCAACTGGGAAAACCATGGCCTTGACTATACGCACTTTTGTTGGCAGGGTGATATCTCTGCTTTTTAGTATGCTGTCTAGATTTGCCATAGCTTTCCTCCCCAGGAATCTTTTAATTTCTTGGCTCCAGTCCCCATCTGTGGTGATCTTGGAGCCCAGGAAGATAAAATCTGTCCCTACCTCCATTTCTTCCCCATCTCTTTGCCAGGAATTGAGAGGGCCGGATGCCATGATTTTGGTTTTCTTAATGTTGAGTTTCAAGCCAACTTTTGCACTCTCCATCTTCACCCGCATCAAGAGGCTCTCTTTAGTTCCTCTTCACTTTCTGCCATTAGAGTGGTATCATCTGCATATGTTAGGTTGTTGATATTTCTCCTGGCAATCTTAATTCCAACTTTTGATTCATCTAGCCCTGCCTTTCTCATGATGTGCTCTGCATATAAGTTATGTGATATCTGAAAACTTAATGTTTGTATTTTACTGTTCATTTTTTGTTTAGGTATCAGCTGTTCTCAAAGATGCTGGGTTTAACAATTTGACTATCCAGGTGGAAAAAGAAGCTTATTTTCAGCATATGTCTGGCCTTAGTACAGGGTTCCACGATGTCCTTGCAATGACAAAACAAATGGAATCCATGAAGTACTACAAAGATGGTACTTACATCATGTAATTTGGAGTTCACATCTGTCGATTTCACTATCTTCATTATTTCATCAAGAGAATTTGCACATAGATGGATTTATAATCCATATATATATGGATTTTAGACAAACTGTTATGTACCTTTAAAGCCAGATCAAGAGGTTTATAAAAAATGTGGGACACCTAGAACATATGCTGTATATGTGGAAATAATGGCAATGTAAAATATTGTATTTGGTGTCTTATTAAACTGATTTTGGTATATGAATGTGGATGAGCACAAATGTATTGTACACTTTCCCCAAAGAGGAATAATGAAAAATTCTCTTCCATTGCAACCTAAAATTGTTTTCATAAGCTTTGAAAAGGAAATTAGCAGACTCCATAAAAATAGTCTTCAAAATTATTTTGAAGCTTTGCTGCTGTATGTGTATTTTTACACATTGAGTGCAAATATTTTTAAGAACATTAAATACAAATGTACATTTTTATATTCCATTTCTGTATACAATCCTATTTTCTAAGGATGGCTTTTTTAGATGAAGGAAAATAGATTCTGCTATAGAAATACTGTCAGCTGAATTAATTTTTTTTAGAAGAAAAAAAAACCCTGCTAACCACAAATCAGGGAGGGAAACACTTTTTTTTGCACTTCTGTGTTCTTTAGTTTGAACCACTGTAAAATAAATACTTTATATTTTTTATAAATATCTAGTGAAATTATTGTATAAGCTACAGGTTTAAAATTAGAAAAAAAATCAGTGACAATTGAGTTTTCTGTCTTGAGTCATTTGTCTCTTATTATAGTAATCAAGATAGAAAATGATACAGTGAGTTGAATTTTCGGTAGAATTTTAAGGAGCTATAATGTTCCTCTAAAATGGCAAAGAATATTTAGACATTCAATACCTGTTATGGCAACATATATTAAAACAAGCAGAATAGGTGATGGAGAGGTTAGAAAGAGAACATAGGGAAGGATGTGTCTTCATTTCAGATGTAACAAGAATGAGATCATTAAGAGATTAATTTCCCTTAAGTATTATTGACCCTTTTAGTATTTCAAATAATGGAAGCAGTTGTCCATATGTATCAGTTAAAAATTGATCTTAAATGTCCCCCTTTTTAAGATAATGAACCACATTTCTGCTTAATATGATGCAGTTTGTCTTCCCTAGCATTCTAAAGCTATGAACGTTGAACAAATATGTAGACAACATTATGTCTGTGTTGAATCTGCTTGTATTGTCAACCTTTGAATGCCAAAAAAAGATATTTAGCACAATCCAGCACTTTTAAGTTCCATTCTGTGTTAAAATGAAGAATACAATACTTAAATGGATGTGACAAATGTAAATAAAGTTTCTAAGAGTCCAACACAATATTTTGGTAAGCAAACTGAGTGATTATAAGCCAAGCCATTACAGCAGATGGCACCATCTACCAAACCTGATTCACCACCACCACGGCCATAGCCCAGTTGGACCTGAATGAGAAGAAATCCAATGAAGTGGACTAGGCTGGAAAATTAAGTGTCTAAAAGCAAACACTGACAAGCACTTTGATGTTGCTGTTAATAAAACTATATGAATACTTCTATAGCGTTACTAGAAATCAAACTCAGTTTGAAGAAATCTTTTGACCAGCAGGATAAAACTTCAATATGATTATTACTTGTTTCTATTCAAACTGGATGAAGTGTTTTGTCCCAGTATGATGTCCTTCAACAGTTTTATTATCTAAATTCTGTGAAGATGTTTTTCCTCAGTCAGTTTTTCTTTTATGTGTTGGCCATAGCTACACAAGACCCATTGAGGTTTGATAACAGCCTTAAACAGCCTAACATTCCCCCACAACTACAATTCCTCAGCCAATATAACCATTGCTTATTGGAAACATACTGTAAGTAACTGCTTCAATAGCTCCATAAAAGCAGTAGCAGTTTAATGGCATCATAAAATCAACAGGTGTCATACATTAACAATATGGCAGATACTACCAAAGGCTTTTAACATTCCTAAATTTTGAATCCTATCTTCACCTGGGAATAAGCCAGCCTGAAGTTTACTTATGAGGAGACATTCCTGGGATTGTGCTGTTTGTTACCTGGAGACTTTAAATATCATTACCTTTTAACATTAGGACAATTAGTTTTTAATCACATAAAGGCACATATATAATAGTGAAATGATATCAAGATGTTATTGATCAATAAAACCTACAAATATCTGCCTTGTATAGATTTTGGTATGAGAGTATTACTGTTTGCCACTAATTCTTTCACCATTCAAATAGAAGAGACTTAAGATGCTCAATATGTTTCAATTGAAGCCTGTAACTGACCCAATAGCTTATCTCTCGGCTTAACATACACCATTGCTGAGACAGTAAAATTCCTGGCTTTTGTATATAAGTAACCTTTATGTGAAAATAATAAATATCCATTAATAAGAAATTGGGAGAAACCATCATTCCCTCTTTTTCATCTACATTTTAACAACTCTACGACCAGCAAAGTTCAACCGTTGCAGTTGCTCCGGCAGAAACGTGCAATCAGATACTATAGGTATTTGTCTGACAATTATACACATTTAAACATATGGGGACCTAGTCGGGAATTGGGAAAAGAAGTATTGGTTGTACTTGCAATGATGCACTTCATTGTATTGATTTATTAAAGATACACCAAATTTCAAACTCCGGCACATAAAACAGCCATGGTGTTTTAATAATTTTTTAAAAATTGTTTTTGTAGGCTGTGATATATTATTTGTATTATAGGAACTGATCTTTTCTAAAATTTCTTACAGTTAACATATGCATAAACGTAATTTAAGTTTTCAAAGTAGTCATTGATCCCAATTTCCACCCACAATTATCCCACCCTTCTAGTAAATAACTTTATTTCCCAGCTGAACACTAAACTGAAGGACATGCGATCCAACCTGCCAATCCTCCTCTCTTAACCACGCCTCCTTTTTCGAACTTTTGGAGGAATCAGCCTCCCGTAGTCGTAGAAACGCATTTAGAATAGAACGCTGCGCGGCCAATGGAAAGAGGCGGAAACTGAAAACAGCCAATGAGCGCAGCCTGGTGCGAGTTTTAAACTTGCAGCGGCAGGCAAAGGGGATATCGGACTCGTGCGTAGCAGTAATCGGGTGTCTTGGTCCTGGGCGAGAAAGGGAACGATTCGGAGCAAGCCGGTCGTGAGGATCTAGGAATCCAGCCTAGGTCATGGCTTTGCGGGTCACCCGGGTATGGAGGAATTTGACGGGGAATCTTTAAGCCGATATTGCACGTTACGTTTTGTAGGAGCCTGGCGGCCATTTATGCTGAAATTCTATCTAACTTAACGGTGGGGGGGATACTTTTGAGCATCGTGGGGTTTACTTCTAAATAAATCTGCACAAAGATCAGTTGTGCTAGTTTTGTCAAGGTGCAGTAATGGAGCGAAATAACAAATATACCTTGTTCGTGTCTCTTTCTGAGGTGGTTCTCATATTTCTAACCCTATATTTGAACGGGGAAGTCGAGGTAGCCTGTTGCGGGTGGAAAAAGCGTCATCTCGCCTTGTTAAACGTATTTAATTGAATCCTACTCCTAAAATATAACATTTTCCCCTACAACTATTTGAAAGAGTAATATGTAGTTTTTTTTTCCCAGTTCATCATGCTGGGTAAATATTTCTGAATATTCTGTCACTTAATTTTTTTTTTGGTAGAACACAAAGGTCAATGCGGAGAACAAAACCAAACCTGCAATGGCCCTCGGTAAGCGAGGGGTTGCTGCTAGTAAGCCGGCTTTGAGGCCTAGGACTGCTTTGGGAGACATTGGCAACAAAGCTTGTGAGCCACAGTCTAAAGAAGTAGTGAAAAAGGTAATCCTTTCTTTGCCTATTCTTTATCCAATAATACAGTAGGAGTTAGTAATGCCACAGTCCTGCTTATTGCTATCTTTCATTTTTTTCCTTCCCACACCACTTTCCCATTTAGGAAATGTTGAAGCCTATAGCCGTGGAGAAAGTAACTACCAGGAAAACTACAAAACCTATTGAAAAACTAAATGAACCTGTGAAAGAAGAAAAGCCAATTCCAGAATCTGTTAAGGTTAATTAAATAGCTTGTAAATAAGTGTTTAAAGATCATGGGTAATTAGGAGCAAAGACAAAAGTTGTGCTAGTTTTGTAAATCTATAGTTGTTACTTTTAGGTGGAAGTATGAGTTTTATAATTTTTATAATTTACTTTTAATAGGTTGCAATTTTAAATGACCTCTGGATAGCCTTATCTAGCTATGACAGGCAAAACATCTTTTGGCTAAGATTCTAGGTTTGACTCTGGTTTTGGTATTCCTAATTAACAATCTTTTAATATGATTTTTTTTCTGGACTATATGGTGATTTTATGGAAGATTTTACTTTACCTTCTTACATTGTTAAGTTACTTGATGCTAATTGAGATAGAATACAAAAATGTAAAGTACATCATCTTAACCTAAAATCAAGAGGTCACTTGATTTGCTCATAATCAAATGCCACTTTGTATAGTGAGATGAGTGGCATATATATTTAATAAATTTAAAAATTACATAACATACGTAATTGCTTTGCTTATGTCATCAATACAGCATTTTTTCAAAAGAAATATTCTAATTATACAATATACTTGCAAAGAAACATTTTGTATAATACATCTAGTCAGAACTGCTGCTTTCTCTGCAACAGTATTACATTTTTTTAATCCACTGCATAATTAGAGCAGAAACAACTTTAGCATCTCTCCTTCAATATCTTGAAGGATTTGCCTTTCAATTTACTTCTGATCTACAACTGTACTTTAGACCCTTCCTTGGTATATAGTCAGGCTTAAATATGTACTATCAATAAAACATAGATAACCAGCAGATCTTTTATAGTTGCATGTTCATAAGCAATATCATTGAATCAGCTAATGAATTTATATCTATAGTCATGCAGCTGGAAGGTGAAACATCCACTGGAAATAACTAACTTCTGTCTATGAAACACAAACAAATGCATCCTTAGAGACACATTTGATGTAGCCTTTTCCTGGCATCATCTGTGGGTGCAAGAAAGATGCTCTGAATTAAGCAAAAATATGCTACATTTTTTCTAATATTGTAGGTTAAGTACTAAATATATTTTTATAGTTGGAGTCTCTATCCCCAAGCCCCATGGAAACATCTGGCTGTGCTCCAGCAGAGGACATATTATGCCAGGCTTTCTCAGATGTACTGCTTGAAGTGAAAGATGTAGATACAGATGATGTTTCTGATCCAAACCTCTGCAGTGAATATGTGAAGGACATCTACAACTACTTGAAAGTTCTTGAGGTTGGTTTAAAGAGCTAATGAGGCCTCACGTATGGGCCTGGAATTAAAACTACCTTGTAAGGTATTCTTACAAATGCTAGATTGGTGTTGGTAATTAGTTTTTATCCTATCTCTAGCAAAATATCTGAAATATCACTAAACATCTAAACGGGATATTTTTTTAATCTTGGTTTATCTGTAGTTTGAATAAACTACAAGTAACTATGTTTACATGTGGCTAGGTGTCAAGCAATTAAGCTAATATTAACCATAGTAAACCATATGTCTGAGAGCACAAGATGGCAGCTTGTTCTAAAATTCAGGTGATTTAACTAGAGAAAAAACCTAAGAATCTTCTCCACAATCTAGAGGGCTTCATATTGGGAAATATGTCTAATCAAACTGGACAATGACAACATAATTATAGAGGTGGAAATACATAATTTAACACTGCATGTTTTTGCTCCTCCAGAGCCAGCAATCGGTGAGAGTAAACTACTTGGCAGGTCAGGAAATTACTGGAAATATGCGGGCTATCCTAATTGACTGGCTTGTGCAAGTTCAGATGAAATTCAAGCTCTTGCAAGAGACTATGTACATGACTGTTGCCATAATAGATCGGTTTCTGCAGGTAAGGCAAACTGTCAAAGAGCTCATACCAAATTTGAACAAACTGAATGATGAGAACTCTCCATTGAATTTTAGCTTAAGTAATGTAGCTTCTTTGAAATCAAGAAATGAATGTTAATTTAGAGATTTCCATTGTATAAGCCTTTCTCTTGAATAGCAACTGGGCTCTCTAGCAACATTTTTCTTTAATTGCTATTACCAGGAGCTGAACAATATAGTCGCTCTAAACTTGTTCTGCAATCAGCTTGTATATATCTAGCCAATGAGAATGAATAGCCTGACAAATGGATACAGGTAGTCCTCAACTTACAACCACAATTGGGAACAGAATTTACATTGCTAAGCAAGATGGCTATTTGAACCCTGCCTGGTTTTACAACCTTTTTTGCCACAGTTATTAAGTGAAACACTTGTAGG